AGCGTTTAGCGTCCCTTTTTCCCGGCCATCAAAGTCTCCCCCAACAAATCAAAGCTCCCAGTCGTATAATCACTTGGCGCCGGCTTTTACGAGCGGCACGCCAGTGGAGGACGTGCCACCCCCGTTGCAATCCCTCGAGTCGACTCGATGCTAATACAGGGTACTAGTGCTTGTACCCCTCTATCCTAAATCTATGAGATCATCACCATACCTTTACTAACATCCAAATTTATGCATCTCCCCTGTCCACTATCCACGTTTACGCTAGGAGTGTACTTTCCGCTGCTCGCCAATTTACGTGCGCAATTTACTGCATCGCAAGCGCAGGAACTTGCGAACAGCGCCAATTCTCTGGCTGGTGTGCTTCCCCGATGCAGATCACTGCATGGTCCCAAAGCCAACCCAACCCCGGCAAGTCAGGTGCTTGCAGCGTGCCTGGCATGCAGTCTGTGCAGTTATCACACCGAGTCACCTGGGCTACGTCTCTCTCTTTCTCAGTTGGGTTAGTATGTCCACTCACCGCGCTTTTCGTGTCGTCGGCAAATTATGGTCATTTCATCGAATATCTCCGAGAAGCAGTTATACACCGTTAACAATCCACTCTGTGCGATGATTTTAGTTGTGTCCTCTAAGTGGGGTTCCACAACTGTTACTATGCTTGCTTTTCTCAAATTTTGGCGTGACGCCAAACTGCCTGGATTCGTAGAGTTACCTGTTGGGGAGATTTAGTCTGCTCCTCATTGCCGCTGCTGGACTTTTTGGGTGATGGCGTCAAATTGTGCATTGCTTTGGTTCTACCTTGGCGATGGATCTCGCTAACTACCAGAGACCTGGCTCTATTGATCCATGCGAAGCAGATAAAGCGCAAACATGGTTGTCTGGTATTCTCGCTTGACAGACGCTTGTCTCGATATGCAGTAGCTTAACTATACACTGCACGTCTAGCATAGTCTTGGATAACCTATGGCCCACGCTGTCCAAAAAAAAAGGATTTTGTAATTGCTGGATCCGGAACACAAATGAGAATAGATTTACTATTAGCTACATATGAGGTAGAGTTTTCAGTAAATAGCAGGAATTGAGCAACCAAATTATGAAAGCAGTATAACTCGATCTACGCATGCGAGTCAATCTCAGAGAAGGCTATACACGCACAAATTGCCTCAACCACCTATCACCCAACAATGCTATCATCTGAGTTGCATCATCCCTCTTCTGTTTCCTAATCTCAATCGCCATGTGCCCCCATCTCACAAGACCCCCACAGTCCCTTGCAGTTCTATACAACTGATACTATTTCTGGCAACGAAGCATGACACCGTGGATGAACTTAACCGGGGTTCCATATTAGCTTCAACCCACATCACAAGCAACATAAATATAGATAAACCAACATCAAGTGACCAATCATCCAGCAAGCCAAACCCCCAGAAGTAGATTCCTCTAGTGGATCAACAAGCTAAAAACAAAGAAAAGAAAAGAACACCTCCATTACAATTCTACCGTCCAGCGGCCCGGATCCGATCCAGATCTCCTAACTATCCACCCAACCCTAGTAGCATGAACGAAAGTAAGTAGTAAACTCCCAAAATAGAAACCCCAGCCATCTTCCAATCAGAACCTCTCCTAGTATCAGATCACACACACCCACTCAAATCAGGTGTACATAGTAGCCGCCGCCATGTCCCCATCGACCCTCCCCGGCGTCTAAATGAGGGGTAAAGCATGGCATGGCATCTAAGAATAGCTTGCTTCCTTCACTCCAGACTAAACATCTGAAAAATGCATGCATGAGATCATACTATACTACCGGATAAGCGTTCTCGGGATAAACCTTCATCAATTAATAGTTCATCTTAATTTGTTTTCCAGAAATAGCCTGCATACCTTGATGCCGCTATTGCTTCAGCCTCGCTTGCCGAACATCCACTCAATAAGATCCACAACTTTGACGCTGTGCATGTAGCCGCCGGGACAACTCATTGGTATTGGATGTGTCAATGTGTCTGGTAAGGCTGGACTGGACTTGCTACGGGAATTGTAGCATATAGATTCAGTGGGCAGATTGTGGCGGGATTGAATGGATGTTAGGCGCTGGGGGGATCCGGCTGGATGGGTCGCTTTCTTTGTTGCAGGGCTTTTTGCTAAGAATAACTGTTGTGAGTTGGTTGTTGTGGGTATTAGTTGGGCTGTATAATGTGTCATGTAGAATGAGAAGTGTTTTATCTTGGGAGAGTGTGGTGGTCACGATTGGCCATTAGTTTTTTGTAGAGATCTACGGTTGCGGTTCCGGCTGTTGGATGTTAGGCCGTTTGGGTGCCTGGGAGCTGTGGTTGATACTATTATTAACTTGGAGTAAAGTCGAGATATGGCATGCAGATGGAATCTGGAGTTTAGCTAGTAGCTTGGACTTGGCTTTTTCATTCTCGGTGGGTTTGGTTCTGGCTCTCTCAGATTCCGGCGGTTAATTGATGCTCGAGCAGGTGATGCACCAGAGAGGGTTGCTAAATTTATCGCTATTGTCTTTCAACTTGTAGATCTTGGCTGTAGGATCAAAGATGTTACTGTTGTATCTTATTTATCAACGTGAGTAGTTAATATGTGGAAGGTCGACAATTAAAGCTCATGTTGAGTTCTAAGTACTTCTGGAGTAGTATTAGAATACCTAGGGTTATGTTAATAGTACTACTCCGTAGTATATATTTCGGATCCGGTTCGGTGCTGCAATAATGCAATGATGTCACCACAACAGATAACCTCATTCTAGTCCTTCTTTTTTCAAAGCTCCCAACTAGAGTCAAGCACAATGTTGTCTCTAATTTCAATTCTACACCTAATAACCCTCTTCTCTTCGAGAAGTGGTCCTGCAGCCGTATGCTGTGCCTCCGGAATTGCCCCCCGCTCATTGGCCAGCGCGGAGACCGATGCTTACCTATCGCATGCAGCTAAGGGCACCGACGACTGCGCAAAAATGCTGGCCTTTGTTTTCGCTGTCCTCCAGCCATCTGGGCTGGATATCCTTCTTCTTCATATTCTGTCGCATACCATGCGAAACAGACCGTCATGTTTCGTCTCCCGATAGTGCGCGCGTTCTTCCGCGCATCGCCCCAGCCGGCCACGGCTACCTCGCTCCTCCACTCGACCCGCATCCCCTCTCACATTCCTCGCTCCACACCTCTGATCCGACGTCTGTCATCAAGACCTCGTGGGACCTTTTCAACGGTCTTCTTGCCTTCGAGACTCCTTCCTCGTCAATCACAGTCCCGGCTTTTCTCCAAGTCCTCCCGCAGCCATGCGAAGTATAATCGATTCGAAGAACCCCAGTTTCCCAGGCTCCAGGATGGCGAGCATTTGCAGCTCTGGCTCGTGCTCATTGCCGTCGGAGGAACCTTCTATGTCTATAATCTGGAGACTGTGGAGGTGCGTTGCTCATACTCCATAGCCATATAATATATGCAAAGCTAATGTTCTTCGTCCTTAGCTGACCGGCCGCACTCGATTCAACTGTGTATCCGACGAGCTCGAGAAACAGATGGGAGACCACGAATACCATGAAATCATGAACAGAGCTGAAGGCTTGATTCTACCCCCGTGGCATCATATCTCCGAAGAAGTGACCAGAGTCTTTGAGAGGCTGATCGCTCATACACCCGTACAAGACACGAAATGGGAGGTGCACGTTATCAACGATATGTCGGAGCAGAACGCATTTGTCCTTCCGAAGTAAGGCGCTCGACTACCTCTGGAATTCATACATTACACTTTCGGGATGGTTCGGCTGATGGGTATATCCTACAGTGGAAAGGTCTTCGTGTATACTGGCATCTTGCCGGTTTGCGGAAATGCCGATGGTCTTGCGGCGGTGCTGGGCCATGAAATCGCTCATGTGCTGGCCCATCACCAGGCTGAGCGGATGAGCCATTCTGTTCCTAGTGTCATCCTGACCTATGGGCTGGTATATCTATTTGGCAGTCTCGGACATTTCGCGTCCCAGATGTTGAATTGGTCTATCAATTTGCCGAACACGCGAGTGCAGGAGGTAAGCGACTCACGGCGTATGGTTGAATAAACATAAACTAACATGTTACTAGGCTGAGGCAGACAACATCGGGCTGAGTATGACATGCTTGTCATTCATTCGGAATGTCCTACTAATGCTTGATAGTGCTGATGGCCAAGGCTTGTTACAACCCTCGTGCCGTAGTTGACTTGTAAGTAAACACTCTCTCAATCTACATATGTCCTTGTTCTTTAAGCTAAAAAGTCTCAGCTGGGACCACATGCACAAGACTGAAAGAGTTCGTGTGCCTGAGTTCATGTCAACACATCCATCGGTGAGATAGTCCAATAACCCAACCCACTGGACGATGTAACTAACGACGTCAAAGCATTTCAACCGCATGCAATCAATGAGCGACAGGTAATATACCAGATTCTTCAGTCCCCCTTTCAGCCATGCTAACAAAACCACAGGCTATACAAAGCCGAATCCCTCTACGAAAATAGCGGATGCCATATGGTCAGAGGCTACAGTAAGCGCCCAACCAACCCACGAAATTCAAGCTACAACACTAACAACATCTCCAATCCAGTCCCCGATTTCACCGACGCAATCGACCACTACGCAGGCCCTCAGGAGAGAGCCCCACCTATCAGAAGCCATCATCCGAGAAGTGGTCATCATGGCAGAGGCCATCGTGAACAAATCCAGCCTGTTGATAGCTCTGACGGCGAATACTTCCTTTGAAAGCACCTCGGGGTATACTAAGTGTATTACTATGATGATTTCCTGTCCTTAGATCCTTTCATTCTGATACTGTCGATCGGATCCGCACAAGGCATAGCGTGATATGAGCGATTTAGCATGCATCTATATACCTATCTCACGGTCTGTCGAGCATATACGATATCTGGCAGATCGCGATAACTTTTCTCGGGATACTCCACTCTGCTTGCATCAATTTTCCATGAGAACTCTTTAGCTTTGAGTCATGCCATGTATCAAATACTAGCTCCTAAACAAATCCTGATAACGAAGCCCCTGTAAGACGGTCAGTCGGAGCCACAGCGCCGTCTACGCTTGATCGGCGAGTCGGGCGCAGTGAACCACCGACGCTAAAACAGTCCTACTTTGTATATAGATCCTTACCTACCTACCTACCCATAGACCAGCCATACGATACTTTAGTTTTTCTATCATTTACATGTCTACTCATTTATATCTACATCTACATCTACAATAAACTCACCTGGAAACCCCCCAAACCATGTCCAACCGCGTCCTAATCGCCGGCGGCGGCCTCGGCGGCCTGGCCCTAGCCCAAGGCCTCCGCAAGCACAACATCCCATTCATCGTCTTCGAACGAGACGCAAAGCAAGATTTCCGCGCCCAAGGCTACAGACTACGCGTCATGCAAGAGAATCTCCGCACCCTCCTCGTCCCCGAAATATGGTCCCTATTCGAGAAAACCGCTGCCTTGGACGACGGTTTCCCAGGCGTAGGTGTCCGACTCGACGCACTGACTGGAGAACCCCTTCCCGCTGGTAGTGGTGGTCCGCCGCTGGGGATCCACGGGGCCAGACCGTACACTGTGGATCGGGGGACGATGCGCGAGGTCCTTCTGCAGGGACTTGGGGAGGAGAATGTGCAGTTCGGAAAGCGGTTCGAGCGGTATGAAGTGAGGCATGATTGTGTAGTTGCGTATTTCGCAGATGGGAGTTCCGCGACGGGAGAGTTGCTCGTTGGTGCGGATGGAGCGAGGTCGCGGGTTAGGAGGCAGCTTGTGCCGGGGTATCCGTTTGTGGATACGGGGATGAGGATGATTTATGGGAAGACGGGGATCACGGGGGATGTGGAGGGGCGGTTGAATGAGTTGGCGAGGAGGGGGATGTCGCTGGCGAAGGATTTGAGGGAGGAGGCGCCGAAGACGTTGTTGTTTGAGCCGATGAGGATGCCGAGGGGTGATGTTGGAGGGATGATTAAGTTGCCGGAGGATTATTTGTATTGGGTGTTGCTGGTTCATCGGGATTTTGTGAGTATGGAGGATGAGAAGGTTCTCAGGTTGAACGGGGAGGAGTCGGCGAGGTTGTCGCTGGAGTTGTCGAGAGATTGGCATCCGTCGGTGAGGGTTTTGCTGGAGGAGCAGGATGTTGAGCAGACTGCAACGCTGAGGATGGCGTCTGTGAGGCCGGATTTGCCGGCTTGGGAGACGGATTCGAGGGTCACGCTGCTTGGGGATGCGGTTCATGTTATGCCGCCGACGGGTGGGCAGGGGGTGAATACGGCGTTGAGGGATGCGGCGGTGCTGGTTGAGAGGATTGTGGAGGCGAAGGAGGTGGGTGGAGGGGATGTCGTTGCCAGGTATGAGGAGGAGATGAGGCAGTATGCGCGGGAAAGAGTCGGGTTGAGTTGGCAGGGCGGGTATAAAGCGTTTAATTTGAGGCCGTTGGAGGAGTGTGAGAGTGTTGAGTTGTTATAACTTGAATCTTGCTTGAAATGATGTTATGGAGTGCTTGTTGGGTGGTGCGGAGGGTGAGAGGTTAGTTATCCTGTGGAAATGTTGGAGAGGCGTGCGGAGTAAGTCTGGTGAGAGGGAAATAACATGGGGGTGCGTGGTTTGCTAAGAGCCCAGAAGCCTGAGCTATACCTAATACGGACTAGCGCTTAAGAATATCTACTTATGTTGAGAATATCTTAGCTATCTTCCCATCTGCTTCCAGTGGCTAGCGATATATCACTTAGCTCAAGAGAGATTCAACAAGTTATCATGAGTGCCACCAATTCACACAGTTCAGATTCCATTCAATCATATGTCTATAGCCTGGAGCTTCGTGAATGCTAATCTTCGAATTTAATAGACCTGTTGTGACGCTAAGCTTACCAATTTAGTTGCCAATATTTGATGAATAGTGACGATCTATCAAGTTAGAAGATATTAAATATCTTTATGATAGGGAATATGCCACTTCACCACGTTCTTGGTTGCCCATATATATCTGCCTCTGCCTCTATTCTTCAACTTGAACCCTTACATCTTCCCTACAAGCACCGACCCCTATTATATAGAAGAGATTTGTCTGGGACATATCTCTCCATTGCTCTCAGTATATACAAAATATTGTCTTGGTTTACTTGGTAGAGCATTGACAGACCCTCATAGTTCTTTCATTATACCTCGAACTCTGAGTGTTAAAACAACTAGCTTCAATCCTGATTGAGCTACGAAAGTCTTAGAGAACGACCAAGCATCGCCGTAGGCGACGAAGGATTTGTTCTGGCAGGAAGGCATCTCATTGATGAAGGCTTAACGACGCTAAAGAGAGAATGTTTACCATAGGCGAGATCGGACCTGTACAATCGTGGTTGACTAAACCAACGGTCTGCAAAACCTAGCGACGAACCTTCAAACAGCCATCAAAATTTCTCTTGCCTCTGATGGTGATTACGAATCATTTTGAAGTTCTTGCAATACGCCGAAAAGTAGATAAAGACAGTATTGCAGTCTTAATGGCGGAGCTATTAGACTTCCTTAGTTGGATCTATGGAATTGTGAAGAATTCGTTATACCATCGCAAAATGGGGAGGGATCACAATAAGGGGGTTCACTTTCCCATACATCGGCCCGTCTCTATCGGAATGCGTTCAAAAGTCCAATCCAGTATACTTGATGCATTCTCCTTGACGCGATCATCCAATCATCACGTTGAAGCCATTCAATAGCAGTAATATACTCCCCAAACCTCTTCATTTCCCAAACAGGTTCTTCTATCCATCTAAGTGAAGAACAATACCAAACACGGGATGTCTAGGTCTGGGAGGCCTGGCTACTCAGGAAGATTCCTGATGACGTGCTGAGTGTTGATAACAGAGTAGAAGGGGTTTTCCAGAGTCACTCGACGGTCGTGTTATTAACAGTGCCCATAGAGGTGTGGACTATGCTCCTTCAATATTCAGGATACAAGTTCGTTTCTCTCGTCACCTCAAAAAACGCGCTTTTGAAGAATGAGGAGCTACCTCATCGAGAATCAACCTCTATCCCCAAGAAAGCCTATTAGATGAGGGATCGGGCCGGCTACAGCCATAAGGCCTTGGGGAGCTTGCGACGTCTTTATTCGTACTTCATATATTTGCTCGCTTTGACGCCTTGGGACGTTGAAGTCTTGTCGTTTACCTAGCTTTTAGCTAATAAAAATTGCGGTTTCAACAAGGGTCAGATGGGCTCTACAAGCTCTTAGCGTATCCTCGTGACTTCAGGAAATGTATTTGCCGTCATACCTGCAAGGCATTTTGGCATTCGTTTCGTGCTGTAATACCAATGCCCTCGCGCTATACTAAAATAGTCGGGATAGCCTCTGGGCCCGGAATAAAGCATGGCCGCTGAGACGGCCAGTTCCCGTGAAGTAAGGTATCACGCTCACTTATCGACTCTTTGAAAGCCAATAATGGCGATCCAATTAATGCTGTTTTGGTTGATGCACGTTTCTTTTGAAATGCGTCTCAAAAGCAAGCTCTGGCATACCGGATGTATTTCCCTAAACGCGATCATCCAAGCATAACGTTGAAGCCATTGAAGGGCGGTACTTCACTCCCAAGCCTTCTTACCTCCGAAAGCATTCTTCTGAAGGATAATATCGATGAAAGGGATGTCGAGGCCTGGGAGGCCTGTGTACTTGGGAGTATCACCGATGACGTGCTGAGCGGGATATAAGAGTCGAAGCAGCATTAACTGTATCTATATAGTTTCCTCAGCTACTTCTGGAAGGTCTTTGTGACTATGAAAAAGGCTAGCACCGCAGGCTACCACCGAGATTGATGCATATATTAGGTGTCCAAGCTAAGCCATCTGGGATGCTGTATGATCTCGCAATTTAGGAAGGGCAGATATACGCAGGGAATACTAGTATAGGCAAGCGGTCTAAAATCGGAACAGATATCAGTTCTCACTCTTTAAGTATGGTAGTTAGTATCGACCATTTTGGAGGTAGTCCAGAACTGTCACACCTATTCTAAGATAAGAAGCATTATCCATTGGCTGAACAAAAGATTACGGCACGCTGAAGAGACTATACCTTAAACCGGTCATTCAGAATATTACCACGCAGTAGAGAAGGTTTCATCGCTAGAGCTAGACAAGTTGAGTTAATTGTACATAGCTAAGAACAATGTGAAGAGGTGGCTTCTCTCCTTAATCCAAATATGCATCTCCTGGCCATCGCCAAGCCGTGATACCTGAGACGATAAGCCAGACATGCAAGTAATTGTAGTACGAGTATGAGCGGCTCTGCTGAGAAACGCATCATTGCAGTGTATCACGTCAATTGCTAACAATATGAACACCCTGAGCAGCAACCTAACATATCCACTGCTTAAAAACGCAAACATATCGAAAGTCCTTCCTTTGCGCCGTTAACCAACAATACAGTCACTTTCCTTCCGGGCACGGTTTCCAAAACCCAAGAGCTACTGCGACAGGGCAGGAATCATCCGACAAGTCACCATATCCATTATTCTCCCATGTACAGAATGACAGCAGCTTGAGAGATCCTCTGGAGGGACCCCTGTACGGATTAAAGATTTTTCTACTGACGAATCCATTCGTGTTGTAGCAGCTCAGCCGCAGGCTTCCGGGACTCTATATCGATTTCGAGCATGCCCTTGGTGAAATTCAACAAAGATGGGAATTTCAACTTCGGGCATATTGATAGGTTTCAAAAATGGTATCGTCGTGCCAATAACCAGACGTTCAAGGCTGGTGGGCTTCAGGTTAGGAATTCGGAGAAGAGTTGGATAACAGGCGAATCAGAAAGATTATCAGAATGTTAACGGGGTTTATGAGACCCTACCTTGCTTATCGAAGAAGTGTGCTGCGCGGTTCCGTCTTTCTATAAATTGAGGCGGAAATTGGCCAAGGATTTCAATAATCCTCGCTAGATGGTCATCTTCAGCCATCTATGTTCAATATGAAGATCCTTTTCTAGAGAAGAGAATTATCCCTCGCACAAGCTCCATAACCTGTTATGGTGCATGAGTCAAATCATACTGTACTATGTTGTAAAGGTTTCTTGAAAATAATGTTTTTACAAGGCACCCTAGGCTCCAGATATCCATGATGGTATTCCAAGAGGCGTCTATTGTCACCTCAGGAGCCCTCATGGCTGGTAACTAAATCGAATCTGGTAAATGATGTTCTCTCCACAACACTATATAATCATAATAAATTTCATGGGTGAAGAAAGCTGAGTATATTACTTACCAACACCGAAATCGATTAACCTGATGTGGGGACATCTTGTTTCCGATACTAGCGATGTCGGGATGACCTCTCGGAGAGGCGTTATGACACCACGCTGAGAGTCAGTCCGTGCAGGAACTTCTGATAGATAGTGGGAAATAGTCCTGTTTGAATTCTCTAGCTCGAGGAGTATATTTGTTGGCTCCAAATCTCTATCAAGAAGAGAGATGTCAGTTTTACAATATTGGATTATCCATAAAATTCGCCATACCAGTATGAATAATACCACACTCTCGATGCAAAATAAATCAAGCGCTAGAAGAAGCTGTCGCGTGATCGTTTTTACGCCCTCGCAGGTATCTACATCATTGGTCTATTCAATATTATGATAGTTTCCAATGCAAGCAGACATGCATCGCCAGCAAGTAGTTAATGGTTACTGCGCATTCGAGTTCTTCGCCCTCTCTGAATCTAACATTCTTTCAATCAGAGCTTGAAAACATTACATTCCTGCTATTATAACCATTGTTATCGACCCACCATGTCCTTCTTTCCCCAGTCATCCATTTCCCCGAATTCTCCGCCTTCGCCGCATCCATAGTCCGAAGAACCGCGAGATAATAAGCTTCAATATCGCCTGTTGCATTTCTAAATGCCCCTTTATGGGGCTCTTTTACCTTCGATGCCATATCTTTCACAGTGGCTTTTTTTTTTATCATGAACGTAATGCAGGAGCATGCGAGCCACGGCCAATGCATTCATGTTGCGGAGATGTGGGGTTTTGTCTTGAGTATGCGTTTCTAGGTCCTTGGAGAGCTGGTACTTCTCATATGCCATTTGAAGTGAAGAAAATCCATTGGTGATACTACCGTCGAAGTTGCTGAGGCGGGCGTGGGTTCTCTGGACCTAAACTAGGAGGTTGTTGTGGTCGGGTTGAATGGCGGTGGCTTGGGGACTTGCTTGGGCTGGGGAGGAGTGGAGGAGGGTGCATAGGGATATCAGAAAAGAAGATAGGTTGATAGAGTGAATAGTGAGGGAGTTCATTATGTGGGAAGTTCTGGAGGTGATAGATAGTAGTCCGTACTTTTGGAAGGCTGAATAGAGAGATGAAATATCTAGTGGTAGGGTTGGTAGTATAAGAAGACTGTTTTAAATGTCCGAGTATATGGACTGCTGCGCATCATCACCGTGATTGACAGGGCTTGTTTACATACATATTGATGATGTTTACTATCTACTCGGCAGGTTATCTGCTTGCAATGTTGTCCACGAATTTCAGCTCAGCTATGTCTATCCTGTCATTCGGGATGCAGCGAAGATTGGGGTAAGGTTATGAAGGAAACGGTTCTGAGGTGAATAATGCTTATTATTAAATGCTTGCTTGCAGTGGAGACCTTTTCCTTCGTGAAACGAGCAGGAGCTAGCATCAGTCCTTGTCAGGATGCTCCGCATCAGCGTTGAAAGGGTAGAGGGTAGGAGACAAGGTTAGCTAATAGGTGACATTGTTTTCCTGTCTTTGTATGGCCTCTTACGATATTGCTTTGATCCAAGGAACAGCCACTATAGTAACAGATGTGAGACCTTGCAAGACGGGAGTGTTGGAAACTCATTGGAATACCCTTTGATCCCAAAAAGCACCTGGAGAATGATTCCGCACTCAAATAATAGAAAGCACAATTCCAAGAGGCTGGAGAGCATGCGCCCTGCATGATGTTCATCACCGCCCCGGAGGACTTCAATTGATACCCTCACTGCATCTCTGCTCGCTTTCTTTCTGGCCCGCTTGTTGAACTCAATAGCGAGAGATCCCCTACATTGAGCAATAGACATTGAAGCCTAATTGCGAGCAGGGGGAGAGATGTGTTTGTGTATGGGATCGGGGCAGATCTGTGTGATGGTTTATATCATGGGTTAAGATGCCACAGACAGTATATTAACATGATGTGAGGTAGAAATAGAATATCTGCTGAGCACAGAAGTAGTGTTGTTGTTGTAATGATTTGCTCTCTAAGCAGACAAGAGAGCCCCTCCAGGTGCAAACCAAACAAACAACCGCCGCCAGACCGTCTCGAAGCTCCGTCGAAAATTCCCAGAACAGCTTCAGGACAGCGTCGTGGCAGTGTCCCCCATCTTTACTTTTCTTAATTCTTCCCGGAACTTCAGTGGAAGGATTTTGTCATCATGTCGCTGTCTATGCCTGGCCCCTCCCAGGCTGGTCTCTTCAAGCCTGGGTATCAGAGGTGAGCGAAGCAAATCCCCCCCGTGGTGGAATGTCCCGCCCCTCAGGGCCCTGAGCATGGCGGGAGTTTCATATCAGGCACCGCCAATCCATGGCAATCCGGCGATGATTTGAATTATTGACTAACATCCTGTTCTTCATAGTCATGATGCCGAAGACGGTGCGGTTATCCGCAACATCGAAGCCTGCCAGGCTATCGCCCAGACCGTGCTCACGTCGCTGGGCCCGTACGGTCGCAACAAGATCGTGATCAACCACCTGCAGAAGATGATCCTCACTTCGGATGCCGCTACGATTCTGCGCGAGTTGGATGTTGTGCACCCCGCTGCCAAGTTGCTCGTGATGGCCAGTCAACAGCAGGATGCGGAGATGGGTGACGGTACCAACATGGTCATCATCCTGGCGGGAGAGTTGCTGAAGAAGGCCGAGGAATTGTTGCGGATGGGTTTGAAGACAAGTGATATCACGCAGGGTTATGAGAAGGCTCAGAACTTCGCTCTTCAGGTGCTGGAAGGTGGGTTGTTCTCGGGTCATGCGTTCTATACTACGTTCAGGGGCTACCGGTCCATTGGCTATCCTGATCGCTTCTCCCGCACTTGCTAACCTATGGATTCATCTCTAGGCCTCGAGGTTGATCGCCTGCAGGATCTTCGCTCCCAGACCGAATTGAGCAAGGCTCTCCGTACCGTTGTCGCCAGCAAGCAGTCTGGAACCGAAGACATCCTGGCCTCCTTGGTTGCCGAGGCCGTCCTCGCCGTCCTCCCCAAGAACCCCGTCAACTTTAACGTCGATAACGTCCGCGTTGTGAAGATCATGGGTGGTAGCTTGGAACAGTCCCGTGTTGTCAAGGGTATGGTCCTTGGTCGTGAGCCCGATGGTGTGGTCAAGAAGGCACAGAAGGCCAAGGTCGGTGTCTTCAGCTGCCCCATTGACATCTCTCAGACCGAGACCAAGGGTACTGTGCTCCTGAAGAACGCGCAGGAGATGTTGGACTTCTCGAAGGGTGAGGAGGAGCGTCTGGAGGCGGCCATCAAGGAGCTGTACGACTCCGGCCTTCGTGTCCTTGTTTGCGGTTCCACGATCGGTGATCTCGCCATGCACTACCTGAACCGTTTCAACATTCTGGTCATCAAGATCTTGTCCAAGTTCGAGCTGCGCCGTCTCTGCCGCGTGGTCGGTGCTACTCCTCTCGCTCGTCTGGGTGCTCCTATGCCCGATGAGATGGGTTCTATCGACGTCGTCGAGACCACTGAGATTGGCGGAGACCGTGTCACCGTTTTCCGTCAAGAAGATTCCAACGCTGTTACTCGCACATCTACCATCGTCCTGCGCGGTGCCACCCAGAACCACCTGGACGATGTCGAGCGTGCCATTGACGACGGTGTCAACGCCGTCAAGGCCATCACTAAGGACCCCCGTCTGGTTCCTGGCGCCGGTGCTACCGAGATTCAGCTTGTGGAGAAGATCTCTGCGTTCGCCGATCGCACCCCCGGATTGCCCCAGCACGCTATCCGCAAGTACGCTGAAGCTTTCGAGGTGATCCCTCGTACTCTGGCGGAGTCCGCTGGCTTGGACGCTACTGAGGTTCTCTCTCGTCTCTACACCGCCCACCACCACACGAGCGCCAACGGCGAATCGTCAGAGGAGTCGGAGGAAGAAGGCAGTTCCGAGGAGGAGCCTTACTGGACTACTGGTGTCGATCTGGAGGTGGGACCTTCTTCGACTGGCACTCTTGACACTGTGGATGAGGGTATTCTGGACTTGCTGGCATCTAAGAGCTGGGCCATTAGACTCGCGAGTGAGTCCGCCCGGACAGTCCTCAGTGTCGACCAGATCATCGTTGCTCGACAGGCGGGTGGACCCAAGCCCCCGGGTCCCAACCCCAACTGGGATGAGGATTAAATTTGAGGCGTTGGAGAGCGGTATATTCAATGTGGTCTAAAACTCAAAATGTGATATAGACACGATAATCATGAACGTCAACTAACCCGGCATGTCCGGGAGTGTATAATGCTTTGTGTGGTAGTAGTGATAGTAATATTGGCCGTGTGGATACTATGGACGGTAACCCAAATTAGATTATGAAATGGCAGTAGATGATTGTAATCATGTGTAGATCTTCCATAACAACGATCATCATAGCAAGAGCGTATACTTGTATAAGCAGCAGCACCGATAGGCGGGCGGTCAGTCATATCACGTGACGTGACTGGATTTTCCGGGCCGACGCTCGACTTTCTTTTCCCGCAAAGGCCTTCTTCGAGCAATTTGATATCTCGAGCAGCTTCAATTCCTTGGTCACCCTCGCCTCACGGTCCTACGTCTCTCCCTGTTTCCGTTCCGTTCGTCCTCACCTTCCGTCCATCATGTCCGTTTCCGCCCAGGCCGCAGCTCGCTGCTGCAGACAGATCGTCCGCCCTACCGCTTCTCTGCGCCTTGCTCCCACGACATACCTGTCCCAGCGCACACTCAGCCGGAGATGGCAATCCACTGAGGCGGAGGCTGCTGCTGCTCCTGCCAACCCCAAGATCACCCAGATTGTCGACCAGATCAGCCAATTGACCCTGTTGGAGACCGCCGACCTCGTCTCCACCCTGAAGGTGCGTTGTTTTGCTCCCCCGGACCTGTGTCGCAAACTCCGCATCGTGCCTATTTCAGGCTGTATCCCATCCAGCGTGGTGGATTGACACTCATCGGATCACATTGAGCTCGATACTGACATGCACGTCGTCATTTTAGACCCGCCTGAACATCCCCGACCTCCCCGTTGGCGGTTTCGCCATGGGCGCTGCTCCCGCCGCTCCCGCCGCTGCTGAGGAAGAGGAGGCTGCTCCCGCCCAGCAGGAGAAGACCCTGTTCAACCTGAAGCTCGAATCCGTCGACGCCTCCTCCAAGGCTAAGGTCATCAAGGAGATCAAGACCCTCCTCGGCCTGTCCCTGGTCGACAGCAAGAAGTTCGTCGAGTCCGTTCCCAAGGTCCTGAAGGAGTCTGTGCCCAAGGAGGAGGCCGAGAAGATCGTGGAGACCCTCAAGGCCGTTGGCGCCAAGGCCACTATGGACTAAATTGGGACCTATATATTACTCTCTGCTTTCGGGGACTTTTTTTAATGCCACCGGGTCACCCTAAGCTTTCGTCTTTCCACAACCCCTCCTCCGTTCCGAGCGGATGAGCGGAGAGGGGGAAAAGGGAAGAGGGAGAGGCTACCTGTGGATGGTCTGGACGTTGTGATTGGACTGCATCTCATCATGCTGGAGTTTTGTCTCGCACCACCCTTTTTTCTCTATTCCGTCATGTATTGTCTGTGTGTTTTTATCCTATCTCTTTTCTTTTCTCCGTCATATATCTCTTAAGACTGTTCTGATATAAACCGGAAAGCGGGAAAAAGGCGGCGAGTGTACATTATTAACGCATTGAATGGACAATGTTGAAACAAGCTGGATGCAGGGACTGGCCTAGAGGCGGCACGAGAAACGTCATGGACCCTAGGTGGTAGTAGATATACATCAGGACGGTCGGTTTTTGTGGAGAGCTTACCACCTCTCATGTTCCGTAGCTCTAATTTCTTTCATAAAACCCAGGTCATCCCTCTGAGCCATATCAAACAATTAAATTGTTACAACAACCATCATTACTGATTGCAGTAAAACTACCCAGCGGGCCAGGAACGAACCATGAGAATTTCCCTGCGGAGCCACGGCGCGCGCCCGACTTTGGCTCCGCCCGGCGAACTGCAGCCTTTATACCAGCGTGACTTACACCTTCTATAATGCCATTTCTTTTCCCATTTTAGCAGTAATAGGTGCAGTTAAGTTTGTCGTAATTGTTATTCTTACGGTTTTTATCAGTACTGCTTTGCTAGTAGTAGCTGTACTTCGAGTTTGAATGATGTAAGTTTGATTCTATATATCTGAACTTACTACAGGAGTGGTGCTATGATCATAAATACTAGTAAGTACTATTACTACCAATATCTACAAATTGATAGTACTACCAGCACCAGTAGTAGGCATGGCGTACAACGAGCGTGGCAATTAATAGTGGAGATAGAAATCACATAGTACCACTATGATCATCGTGGTGTAGTTAATAGAACATATTCTGTTGCCCTACTACCTGTTCAGATGATAGGTTTCCACGATACTAGTATTACAAATTCAAAATTCAGTTAAACACGATTACTAACAGGGGAGAGATGGGCATAGACAACATTTGGACGTCTTTATATACTAGTACTATGAATAGACCTTGGTATCTCTTTACAGCAATGACTGGTGACATGTATAGTTTCCTGTCTATTCCTTGCATCAACATGAATATCAACTAACAGCCTGCATCTCTTTCACTCGAGTGCCCTATCCAAACTCCGTATCTCATCAATATAACCTGTTAACCGTATCATATATAACCTTTCATAGCCATCTTTCCAGAAGCCAGATTCGAGAGAAGATATCATGGAAGAAAATAGGAATCATGATTTGCAAGCGGGCGAGGAGAGAGAGAGGAAGAAACACTGGAGGGGGGAAGAAAAGAAAAGAAGGGACAAGAAGCAGATCAAACCAATCCGTAAGATTCCCGACCAGCGCTGCGTTCACTCATTCATCCGTACCATATCCAATCTCGCTGACATGTCACCTCCGCCGACCCTTGCCTTTCCCCTTTCCCCTGGTCTTGAGTTCGACGAATCCTAATTCCTTAAGACCCTCTGTGAGACGTGATGAGTCTCGCATCCCGGGAAAGTCTTTGGCAGGGTAGACGCGAAACGGATCGGACCATACTTCAGCAAGAACGGGCATCGATTGACCCGTGTCCTCAACGAGGCCCCAATTCATAAGCCGGAACTGTAAGCGGTACAGTCCAGCTGTACGTACGGAGAGATCAGAGAATATGAAGAATGCTGCGGGCTGTTGGGCTCCCTTAGAGGCTGATGGAGCAAGTTGGACTCTTCGTTCCGGTAGGTGATAATCAAATGTTGATGGATGATTTGGGGCAGTTGCTGGATCAGGATCTTCATCGACAAAGAACGGCGAGACAAATGCTTTGCCCGAAAGCAACGGTGTAGATTGGCCGGGAGCAGTTCCGAGACGGTCCTCTCGAAGGGCACTATCACCATCCATGTCGGACGAAATCGATCCTCGCGTTTCGGGAACCAGGAAGCAGCCAACGGTAAAGCGCGGATCTTGGAGGATATCGATATCATCTGATGTGCTGGGGTCAAAGTCCGTTAATAGCAGCTGCAAAATTGAAGGTGGGTCTACAGGGCGACGGTCTCGGTCTCCGGCACCACAAGCCCGGGCTGCAAGAGGCTGTTGTCGAATGAAGAGGTGATAGCGTGATGTAGTGGAGGTTCTTCGTGGCGGAGGTGATGGAGTAGGAGAATGGTGAAGCAACCGTTCAAACCCAGAAGGCATACTGGACGTGGTGTGTCGCTGATGCTGTTGTGCCTGGGGTTTTATGGGTGGTGCAAGCGCAGGATACATTGCTGAGCTCTCCTCAGAGTGAACGGGGCTTGGAAAGGTCGCCGAGCTGCTACTATACCTGTATAAGTCCCATTAGCACAATGGTTCTCAAGGGAGTTACGAAGCACCACAGCTCGAGGTGAAATAGCGGGAGTATGCACATTTGACCACGATCATGGTATCATAACTCCAAGCAGATAAGACTAGGGCCTTTTGATGAAGAAAGAAAGGGGTTTATACTGAGACTCCACATCATTTGTCCGCGTCCCGGAAATAGAACCAATAGAACCGCGACTGTAACTGGGGGAATCCTGATATGGGCTAGAGACAGAGGTTGAAGCGGAGGCATACTCCGCGCTTCTCATGGCATTTGACCTTTGGGCCCCATACTGAGGAAAGACACTATGATTGGCAACCGGTATTGGCGAAGGGTTAAATTTGGGGTCTGCGAGGCTGTCCCAAGTTCTGCCGTGATAGGGAGCCCTGGAGTTTGATGCGGGATGCATATAAGTCGGAGCGTAGCCCTGATTGTCAGGATAGAGGAAGCGTGGGGGATCTTCCAGAGTGTGGAATCGATTTGGCATCGTCAACATCTGGTGATCGTCACCAGCGGCGTAGGATCTTGCATCCGACGGTTGACCACTGGATGCGGGATACATCCATTGCGGTAGCGGGGTTCGAGACATCTATGCAATTTGTGCGGACGTTTGGGGGTCTGTACAATTCTTTTTTCCTTCTAGGACCTGCTCTCGCTGTAGAGTGCCAAAAGCTGATCTCCCGTTGTGTTCGCGGGCTAGGCATCCACAATAGGGAACGCCAAAATGGTCAAGCAAGGTTTGGTCAACCTAGAAGAAAAGGTGGAATGAGGCCCGATATGGGAAGAACAATCGACAGGGGTCAGAAGCCCGCTGGGACAAATTGGCCATGTACTACGTAACGGTATACCCAGCGCCAAAGATTTTCCAGAGGTCACAGATTAACTGTGTGCGGTAGGTTTCAAGATGTTTCCTTTAAGGCCAAAGGTGCAAATAACATGACCTGACGTGGGCGGTTGTTCCAACCTACCGAAGTAGCTGGCTGAGGTGATATGCATATGTTAGCTCTCTTTGGTGATTTTCAAAGGCAGACCACAAAGCAATTGTCTGAGGAGGGTCCCGAAGCACGGAAAAAGGTAGTCAAGACGAAGGAGGAAAAAGAAAAGGGGACTGCCCACCTCTGCCCAACCAGATCGTAGCACGACTCACACCGGCGCGCAAGTAGCGGCAAGGCAAGCAACTGGAGTAGTGACCCTGTAGAAACGTGAAGTAAGCGTGTCTGATGACCACCCCAGAAGGAGGAAGAATGGCCAGGAGCGTGGTACTAACCCTAAGCCAAGCAGTAAAATATCAAGTGTTATTGGCACTCTATAGTTGCCTGTGGCCGTGCAAGAAAAGAAATGGATCTGGGGAAACGGGTTGGTCGATGCTTTTGTGAGAGCCTGTGCGTGCCCACTGCGTATGTGTGTGGCATTGTGAAAAATTCAGACATGCAGCAACACTGCGTCCCTGACAGGATCCGGCCGTGTATATCCCCGAATCTTAGAAATCTTTATTCCATCATGAGTTTCTCCGATATCCCAATTTTCCCGTATTTAACAAAAGAAGCGTAGGTTTTGCTAGTGCCCAGTGTGTTGGTCTGTACACTGTCCGGAACTTTGCGCGACCATCGCAATTACTAGTAAGGTTCCAGTCGACGAGCCACTTCTGTTATGGGTCCCTTTGGGTTCTGCAGACGACGCAGTATGACGGCCCTGCGGAAAATCATTGGTCAAAGCAATGAAAGACTGACCCTGGTATGCCGTGGGCATCTCGTATTCGTCGAAGTGGTAAGTAGTATCTTAAGGAGGGACTATCTTTCTTGCGATGGCCAATAACGGAATAGGATCCCGTATATGCAACGAATCGCTTGCTATGTGCCTAGTCAAAGGCGTGAACTGTGTTTACCAAGGCGCCCAATTATTACCCACTTCCCGGGGAACTAGGGCGATCTGCTGCCGAAGGATTTAATTTTTAAATGCGCGATGATCTGGAAGCCCAGCAGGAACCATCGGGTGAGATGTTCGACTCTGTGAGCCAGGTTCCAACGAGTGAGCGGCGACAAGCCAGGAAAGAACAGGGAATAAAAGCGCAGATCGAGTGTAATCGACCAGTTGATTGGCAAGAATATTATTCCATGTACGCCGTAAGCCGTGCAGTTCAGATTGCTGGGATCGCTATCCGTGGTCGCTATCATCGTTAGATACTCTGCAGCCCGTCCACGCAATGCAACTAGATGGGCCTCCAGCAGCTGATCGGTGCAAGGAATAAATGGTCTATACTGATGATTTGCGAGCCTCGGCGTTCCCGGCACAAACCTGTCCTGCAGCTCGGAAAGGAAGTAGGAAAAAGGAAGATGGTGCTGCAAGATTCGTAGAGAAACGGCTAGAAGACTGTATAGTGGAGTCCAGATCTGGACGCTCACCGTTGTTTTTCAACTATCGACCATATACAGAGCACTATTCCTGGAAGGGTGTGGTGATAGATGTCGCCCATGAACCCCCGGGACAATTATTGAGCTTGGGACAAGGGCCATTGACCGCAAAAGCCGGACACGGCCGTCGGGGATCTTTCCGTACGCTAGGCGAATACGGCTGTTCAGCTGCTTAGTGTCGGGACTGCGAACTCCATCCGACAATGTTCAGGTTACTTTTGCGCCCACGTCTTTAGCATG